TTTAGTCTGGTGGATCGTGTCAGATCTATCAGCAGTTCTTCTCTTGGCCTTTCTCAGTGAGCGGAGGGTCTCTTCTTTGTCCGTCTGGACACCCGTTGGAATTTGTCCGGGTTTCCACCCTTTTTCGACCCCTTCGACCTACCATATTTTCTTTACCCGGGTCTCTCTCCAGTTCTGATTATATAGTTACTCCTTCAATCAACCTCTTCATTTGTGATCCTCACTTCAGACAGCATCAAAGTGGGCAAAAATATTCATTACTTCCCTTGGACACTCTGGTTTAGCTCGATCGTTCGTTCTACCGAGAAGATCCACTCCATGGAAAATGGGCGAGCCGTACATGGCAAATTCTGCAAAAATCGACCGCGCCAGGAGTCGAACCTGGAATCTCTAGAGGGCCGGGGTAGGAGACCGAAATCTAGCGCCTTAGCCATTAGGCCACGCGGCCGATGTTATACACGACTGAAGGATGTTCCTTAAATGAATACTATATTGATTGTTAATACATTACCTCACATCACAGCTTTCTTCACATACACCAGTGACTATTGCTTGAGTTGTGTGTCAATGCAATGGAGCCTCGAAATTGATTCTTATGACAACAATTTCTATTCTAACTTAGCGGTCGTATCGTCTCTTTCGTCTGTCATACATGAACTTCCAATCCTCACGATGGCCTAGATCTTGCGATCGTTGAAATGTATGCTAGGGTCATGGGCGATTTGAATCATTATACCGAGCTTCTGATCACTCCAAATGACAACAGGTCGACACAGAAGTATCACGCTGACGTACCACTAAAATTCGATTGCCAGGCTATTTATACTCTACGTTGCGTGAAATATAATATGAATCCGGTCTTGCTGTATTGTATGTATGTGTCCCCAGCGCAACGAGAATCGTATCTAATAAAAACACACGCGCACTGAACATTTATGAAAAATCGCCGCGGGGCATACATATGCTTATAGTCCAAGACCCCAGTAAACCTTGCCATATCTTCATACCTGCCCGTTGATAGTCTTTCGGTCGCTTTCAGACAGCGCATTTCGATAAGGAGAGTTGTAGAGGTCTGGGTCACTCTCTTCGGTTACTTGCTCTGCATCCGCATCACTCGAATGGCCCACCTCGCTCGTGTCCAAATCGTCATCGGGCGATATGGCATTGCGCCCTTCCAGTTCTGCTATTTGCTGCGACCACAGTCGCGGGGTCATCGGTTGCATATCATTCTGCCTGCTGCAGCCAGGCAGCGTGACGCTAGAAAGACCGTCTGACTCAGTGAGGTGCCGCGAAGAGTCGAAGACTGCAGCGCTGTCGAAGTCGTGTGCGGCTGCAGTGCTGGCAGGTGCTTTGTGCTGGAACACGTTGGTGACGCTTTTGCTTGCTCGCTGGAGGCGTGGCTTGCACAGTGACGTAGGAGTGCGAGCGTCGGCTTGGCCCCGACTAGCCATTTCGCTGAGTTCCTGAGCAACAGCGTGATTTTCTGTGTTGGTGCGCCCGTCGTGTGAGACCTGAAAGCTGCCCCCGGAGCGCCTGCGATTGTGGATTTGACTTCTGCTGCCAGAAGTTGACGCCGAGTGCCCCGTGACCACAGTAGCAGCGGGCGACTGCAAGATAAAGGCAGTGGGTACGCTGCTACCGAGCTCGAGGTTCCCCGGACCTGTGCCGAGCGCTCGTAAATTCCGTTGACTTTCAGAAAAGACTACGCGGGCACGTAGGCTGTGGACTGCGCGATCCAGCGCGAGCTCGATTGCGCAACAATCGCGAATCCGGCTGAGTCGGGGCCACGTTGCTCGTTCGCCGGCGATGCAGGACCGTATCATGAACTCGGCATTGGGATTGGTCAGCACTTTCGGTAAGTCATTCATGGCGACCTCTGGTAAGATAGTGATATCGCCTGAGTACTTTTGATTCAGTACGGTTCGGCACTTGGTCATGAGGTTGGGGAAGATACCAAGCTCGGCCATGAATTGCAATCGATGCAGAGCCTCGTCCCTGGCCAAGGTGGTTAGCGTGTCTTCCCAATCAAGTTCTCCGTCGGAATGGGAACCGTCCGGCTTTTGAAATCGGCGGTCCTGTGGAAAGACGTCGACTTTTGATAAAAAAGGGACCACATGTGGGTTCACCTGACAGACGATGAAATGGTTGACATTGAACATTTCGGCAAGGCGCGTCATGGGCAAGTCGTTGTCCAAGGAGCCATCAATAAAGTGCTGAGGAGTGGGAATCCAAGGGTGATGCTCGCCTGTTGCAGGGTCTTTGACGAGTAATGGGGAAGACTTGTATACCAAGGGAAGAGAGCACGATGAAGCAACAGCCGACCATATCATGACATTCGGCGCAGTGACGTAATTGAGTAGCCGGGGAAGTTCGTAGATTGATGCAGTAGATACACAAATGTTGAGGATGCGACGGGTTCGATTGTACGCCTCTTGAAACGTCATGTCGCCCATCATGCCTCGCATGACCCTCTTGAGGTTGTCAATGTTGCACCAGCTTCCCTCCGTGAGCAGACGGCGTAGATGTCCCAAGATACCCAAGCTACTATCTTCTTCTTCGAAGACGGCCAAATCGCCAAATGGGAATGCCTGGATGAGCTCCGGGATCTCTTGATCATTTTTGGTGCACATGACGGCGCAGACGATGCTCCCAGCACTGGAACCCGATATGATGCGGGGGAGAAGCTGCTGCTCGAATAGCGCCTTAAGCACGCCGATATGTGTCATTCCAAATGTGCCGCCTCCCGAAAGCAACAGCGCACTGCGGCCAAAACTTTGCCGCGAGTATAGCATTGCTTCCAGAAGATCCTTTATCGGGACGTCGTGATGCTTGAAGGTGCTTTGGCAAACGAGAGCGTCAATCGATTGGATTGCGGAGTCAACGTAGCGCTCGATGAGCTTCTTGGTGCCAATATATGAGTGGCGATACAGGTCGACGTTGTCCATGCCTCCAAGGCCTCGACTTAATTCTGTCCGGATCAGATGCATAGTGGCTCGAACATCTCCACTTGCTCGTGCTTCGTCGAGCGCACTCAAGCGCTCTTGAATAAGCAAGAAGTCATATTCACCATCCTCTGTGTCATGCTTCCATCTGTCGTTGCCATCAAGCTGATCGAGTTCCGACGCAGCAGCACTCCATTGCTGGTATGTTTCGGCCTGGATGATCATATCAATATTAGCGCAGAACTTGTTTTTGTCTTGTCATGTTCCCACAGGAAATTGAATTTCACTATCACTGACAGATTTCATTTCCCCTAGGGACTCATCTCTTTTCTGGTGCCGTAATCGAATAGCCTCACGGTCTTCGGTGCTCAGCCCGTCCTTCCAAGAAAGAAACGCATTGCTCGCATCTCGGAGCGTCCTCGAGACGACCTGTCGGATTGTGCGGCCGCTGTCTAGGTGGGGTGGGGAGTTGTCAGATTTTGCTTGAGGACACAAAACTGACTTGGAACCAGTTCTGTGAAGGCCTCCAGCTGTGTGTGTTTGGAGGAGAAGATCTGCCATTTCCACCCCTATGGAAAAGTGCGTAAAACAGGCAAATGGAAACCGGGGTATTGCGTGTGAAGGAATCCTATCACATCATTGGTCCTATACCCAGCTTTCTGCTCTGTGCGAACAAGTCAAAGTCAGTCGGTTCCTCAATAGAAGAAAGTAGGACCTTTTGGGGGTTCGTAGATAAAACAGTGTCGACTGGCGCCAAGAGCGTGAGGATTTAGAACTTTAGTCGAGCTTGAAAGTCGGCAGCTCGTGAATTTCGGTGCACAATTAGGACTCTATTCTGTGAATGCAGTTGATGTGATCAGGTCGAGCGATTCGTTGGGGGGAAGGAGGCAGGAGGCAAGACACGCGCACGCAACACGGAGAAAATATAGATACTAGAGACAATAATAACACAACAGGTTGTCGAGCCTTGTTGAGGACAAGTTGAGGCACCAGACACATAACGTTAGTGGCACATTATTAGTGCGTGCACTGGCGCAGTTTGGTCGCGCATGTGAGTTGTCCATCAGCCAGTCCAGTGACGCACTCTGCAGTCTGGTGACCGACCTGGGTCCGCCCCCGAAGTGGTAAGGATGACGCTAAGAGTTGGGGAGCATGGGGAAGTCCAGGGAGGGAAGACGCCTGAAAGGGAACTGGGCACAGACCAATGCAGATTATCGCAGCGCGTTTGGTGGTGTGGTGGTCGTCGGGCTGTCGTCAATAGCCTCAACCTCGAAGTCTCCGACAGACTTCAGAAATTCAGACACGAGACACCAGAAACTAGGTTGACCTGTCAGCGTGTACGAGTCGAGCGTGACATAACTTTCATTGAACCCTGGTGTACAGCGGTGACTGATTGAGTCGGAGGGTGCTGCCTACCTTTTGCCGCGTCCTGTCACAGCTTCATCCAACCCTCACAAGGACGGAAGTCAGCCGACACGTCGGGCATGCAAGTACTACGTACCGGGGCCAGAACCTTGGTTCGACGATCGGGGATTGCTTCGGGTTTTATTTATGGAAAATTCGTAGTGACTGGATACAATACTTCTGGTTACAAGTCCGTGATTGGGATCAGTTTCGGTCAATCTTATTTTGGCGCATGGTCTAGGTATGAAATTTTGGAATGACAGATGGAGCGGCTTGGTGCGATTTTATTCGGTCGCTGCGAGATGGAATCCCGCCTTTGGCATCATTTATTAAGCAGTTGTTCAAAAAGACTTGGCCCCCCATACACACTTCATGTTGGTATTGATCAAAGGTGCGGCAACGTTAGGGGGATGTGGCCCACCCGACAAGTGAGAAAAAAGGTCGCGACTCAACGGCGATAATAATTCTCAGGCCCGTACCAGATTCGAACTGGTGCTTCTGGAATTTTCTGCATCAAAATCCAGCGTCCTGACCCCTAGACGAACGGGCCCTTTATCACATTACCATTGACTCTAGGTTCTCAAAAACTATTTCATATACCCTATAAACATAGCTCCACATTACTCGGCGTGATTTCGGAGAGTTCAGCACGGCCGTTCTCATCTTGGTCACAACAGCTTCACGACCTGGCTTTTGAAGCTTTACAAACATTCTCTTTACTTTTTCAATTTCTCGACTTGAGAATGAGCTCCCCATCTACGTCATCATCGCAGCGACCTTCGCGCGCGACTCAGGCTTTGGATTTCCAAGCAACACATCGAGCACACACATAGATCAGATTGAGAAATTACGCGCGGAAAACGAGGCAGTGCGTGAGCAATAAGCCAAACTACAGTCCTCTGTCGAGATTCAGACCGAAATACATCCGCTTTCCGCGGTTGAGAATGCATTACCCAAGCACCCCGTCGTCCATTCACAGTCATCGAGCGCTCATCTTGACGTGTCATACAGCCCAGCGCGGCCTGCCTTCTGGACTCCCGTCTGAAGATGAAGATTCCGATAGCTCTGTCAGTCGCCTGCTGCGCCAGGAGGCCAATGGCGA